TTCTTTAAGCAACCTTCTTGGACCAGTTGTCCAGGCAGTTTGGTTGGAGTACATTTGACTTTCCCACAATGCTGCAGAGCGGCACAGCACCAGAGCATTGTGGGCATGCAGGTGTCTCCATTCCTACCTGCTCGTACCTCCAGGCCACTCTGCTGGGTCCACTGACAAGCTCATAGCCAAGCCTGGAGCCAGCCTTGGGTCCAGCCCCCTGGTGTCCTCCAGACGAATGGGGCAACACTCGCGGTCTTCCCTAACCATCAGCTATGCTGACTGGGGATTATGGCAATTGTAGTCCAAAATATATGCAGGGCACCAGATTGTCTAATCTAGGAGCTTTTGCTGCATGAGACTTTTAACCCACCACTTTACCAGGGCTTCTGTTTGAAGATTCTTGTAGGTTTCAGAACAGCTCCTTTGCACGTGCCTTTTCCTCCCTATTTTCACTTTCTCTTTTTTATGCCTTCCGTTGCACAACCACTAGATGGCGCTGTAGTGTAGCAGAATTGCACAACTAAGGGAAGGTTTGATGCCACTGCTTGCACATGTCCAGATGTCTTTCACCCTAAAACCGGCAGAGTAGCCTTGGAGAATCACAACAGGTAAAGCAGCCTGCAAGAGCACAGTAAATGCAATAAATGGGTTGACAAAGCTTTGGATGGGCCTCTGGATACCACGCAGGAAGGAATCTGAATGATAATGTGTAATATCTCCGTTACCAAGGTTTTTGAGATTCTGGAGCATTTTCTTCTCTGATTTCAGGAGCATTTTCTTCAGACAGGAACGATCCCTCCCCCTCCCGCCCCATTCCTGTGCTCCATCATTTTGTGAATGCTGCCTTGACCCCTCTCCATCTGTTGCGCACTCAAGAACAAGCAAATAGATTTCTGGTTTTTAGAGGGATGCTTCTCAGCTCTCAAAACCTGCAGATGGAAGGAGGTGTGTGCGCGTCTTTTGCATTTTGATGGCAGCAGAAAGCAACCGAGTGGGCTTTCTGTCTGGAAAATGCTGACACCACACGTTCTAGCTACAGGAGCGCAACCAATTTTCTCCGTAATAACACACAAGCAGTTGAAAGGCAGGAAAGTGCTGGTGTTGGAAGAGGAGGCCAACTGGGTTTGTTCTGATAGCTTTCATGATACATCCTCAAAATGCCATCAGTGGTTGAGCAGAACAAACAGGCTTTGGGCACCTCCAGACGTCCGTGCCTTGGGTGCAACCCACCATATAAAAATCACAGTTCCAGAAGATAACTGGGAGCTGCAACAGAAGGTCGCAGCATGGGACGGTGGTGAAGAGATAAATTTGGGGTGCAGATTCTCCTCTTGGCAGCCCCCAGCTTCAGACAGCTGTGTTGATACACGGACAAAGCACTTCTAGCAGTCTTCCTCTCCATCACAAAAGGAGGGGTCCTCATAACCTGTGCAAGACCAGGCTTTGCAGCAGGGGCCACTCACAGCAGCACATTATCGCTAGGGGAAAAGTCGATTTACCAGGGTCACAGTGAAGCTCAAGGGGAACGCATGATTCTGGCAGTGGTGGGGCTCCGTCCCTCCATCCCTGCAATTCCTGGTTCCACGGCTCCATTTCCAGGGTGTGCTTCTGCTTGGAGTTCCAGCCAGCCACATCCTTTCCCAGAATCCCCCCTGCCTTCCTCTTTGAAGGTTTCCGTTTCTCCCCACCACAACATCCTGGCAGGCTTGTCTACTCCCTGAGCGTATTTTGGGTCATGGCTCATTGGAGGGTGGTTCCTACAGCCCAGCCACCACCGATCCGAATTCTGCAGACTGCAGGGCTCGCCCATCGATTGATGCTTCCCTCTTGTGTGTGGGAGGGCCAGTTCTGGCCATGTAATGCTGCATCCTGGGAGCAGAAGCTCTTTGGTAGGATAGTTTTGGGACCAGGCTGCGTATGTTCAAACCCCCAAGGGATGAAATGCTTTGCCAAAAAGAGACGGGGGGGGGAGGAGTGGGGGGAAGATGCTGGAAGGAGACATCTCTGCACTGCATTGCCAATTTCTGGTGTACAACTGTAGAAGAACCGCAATGTTAGTGTGTGGCAGTGTGGTCTAGTGGTTGCAGTGCTGGACTGGTGTTGGAGAGACTGGGGTTGGAAGGTGCTCCCTGGCTGATCCTGTTAGTTGTGCTTTCGTGGGAAGGCGCACCATCGCTGTCCCCTGCTGAGTCACAGACGTAATGATGTCTAAAGATAACCGCAGAGGCAACAGTCTTGCTAGGCAACCCCAGTGAGAGGCACTGGTGTGTTCCTGGACTCCCCACTGGGCCATCCAGTTGGGCATTGTGAGATCAAAAGGCCAGGCAAGGCAGGGCTTTGGTCGGGCCCAGCACAGGGCTTCTGTGACGGAAGTTTGCAGGGGAACCCAGTGGGGCTCCTTCTCTACATCACAACTGTTGTTTTGACCTTCGCAGCAGCAATCCATGCTGCTCCAGGGTGGTGCGCCTACTTTTGGGTTGGGCTCCAGCACCATGGATGCCTCCTGGATAACTCAAAATAACAGCTGCAATGAGTGGGGAGTCCCACCAAGGGAGGCATCAGAGACTTCCTCAGGATTTTCCTGCGTGGTGGTCGAAGCAATCATGAGCACTCACGCCGAAAGATGAGGGATGGATGCCCGCTTAACTTCTCCGTGCCCGGTTGTGGCCGACACCAGTTTGTCTTGACCTGGAGAGTTGCTGTACAGTTTGACTTGGCTTTATGTGAGCTGCGGATCGTGGCCACCAAGTGAGTCACCACCGCCATTCTCTCAGAATTGAACCGTCCTTTTTACGGAAATGATCCTTATCAGTATTGATTGCTCTTTGTCAGTGCCTCCAGCTCCCCCCCCCCCCCGGTCTCTGTTCCAAAGGTAGCATTTTATTTGATTTTATGGCAAGATATAAATTTCTCTCTGTGGGCCGGCACACTGAATGCAGGAAGAAATTGCTTAGCAACTGAATTAAAAAGTGAGAGAGAGAATCAATAACCTCCTGGGAAAACTGAAAGGGGCTTTAACCAACAAAACACCCGTTCTTAGTGATTATGACCCCCTTGATAAAGTGTATTTATGTCTTATAGTTAAACCCTGCCGTTTTTCCCTCTAAGGAATCCAGAACAGCCCTTGATGCTCTCCATGTTATTCTCACAACAACAACCCTGTGAGGTAGGTCAGGTTGAGCGCCAGTGACTGGCCTGCAGTAACCCAGTTGGCTCCATGGCTGAAGTGTGACGGGAACCATTGCAAAGTCTAACCACACCAAGGCACCCACGCTCGCATGGCCTGCTGTGACTGAGATCGATCCGCACCAGGGTGGGGAACTCTTCTCTCTGAGGGCTGCATGGCCCCTGGAGGGATCTCCTGGGAACTGGCAGGTGCCAGGGGCTCCATCCTGTACCTCCATGTCCTGGCCCTCCACTCCTCAGCTTCCCATCTCACCCTGATATGCCCATGCGTTCATTTCCAGGACAAAGGGCATTCGATTAACATCAGTTAATGATTAAGCTGCGATCATCCACTGGGTAACGATCCATGAGAAAGTCAGCCTGATTCATTCGCACTGGCCAGAATTTAGAAACCCTGTTTCTGCATCGTGGTGTATCACATGACCTTCACCAGTATAAATGTGTTTCCTTTCACCATTAGCCACAGACTTTGAAGTAGTAGTTTCCTCTGTGCCTGTAATAAATCCTGCACCGCGGATAGGCTGTTATTTTATCTTCATCATACGCTAGTGAATTTTAACTTTTATATATTAAAATTCTGCATTAAAAAGTATATCCATAATTAAACAAGGGCCAATGCTTATCGGTTCAGAAACCTTATGCAAGAAGTGCTCCTCTTTAACAGCATAATCAGTCAATGCATAGGCAGAACAGAGGAGAAAAGGCATTGGTGGTTATCAACAAGTACCAGTTCCTAAAGCTGAGCTCCCGCACCTCTTTATTCAGAATGATGGGTTGCTAACCATGAGCAACGCTGAGCGCACGACCCAACGGCAAACCCTAGGTTCTCTTCATGGCTCGCCCCGGGGTGAATTACCCATCCTTAAACCACAGTGCAGGGTTCGCACAGAATGTAACACAATGACAACCCACGATCCAGCGACAGCCCGCTTTCGAGCCCTGCGTGGGGCGGTTGTGGGGTGCAGACTGGGCTGTCGTGCTGCGCTTCTGGGGCTGGTGGTTGCTGAGTGCCAGGGGCTGGCGGCCCACCGGAGCGACTTGGGAGCTCTCCACGGTGCTGAGACCCCTGGGCTGCCCAGTGGGTTCACTCTGCCGGGGCGCTGTTCTAGATAGCTCGCCTAAAGCCCAACAGAAAAGCCGGCGGGGCTAAGGAGCCGCGCTGCCCGGGAGCCACCCAGACAGCCCGGGCGACGGGGCGGGCGGGACCCGCGGCACATGCCCCGCAGGGGCATTTCTGCGCCTGCCCAGGCAGAAGAAGTTCCGCAGCTCCGCCGATGCCCCGGCTGCGCCCTGCCGGGCTCGGCGCGCCGAGGAAACGACCCGGGCCGCCGGCCGCTCCGCCCGCTTGCAGGGCGCGGCTGCGGCCACTGGGGGTCGCGCTTGGCCACGCTCCGCTCCGGGGAGGCGGTTGCGGGAAGCCGCGCGGGGCGGGGGGCGGCCGGGCGGGTTCGCGCTCGCCCGGCTTCTTCAGGCAAGGTGCGCGCCCGCGCCGCCGGGATGCGGACCCTTCCCCCGGGCCGGGAGGGGCCGCTCCTGCTGCCGGCGGAGCCCTCGGGGGAGAGATGCTGAGAGGCGGGCCGGAGACGCCCGCCGCCGCCGCCGCCTCTTCATCCTCCTCCTCCTCCTCCTCCTCCTCCTCGCCCCGAGTGCCGCTCGCCCCCCTCCCTCGCCCGGCGCGGGGGGGGCTCCTCCATGCGGCGTCCCCCGCCCCGTCGGCAGCCCTCCCCTCGCCCGCGCCCCCCTCGCCCGGCAGTTCGCAGCCCATGAGCGCCGCGTAGGGCCGGCCGGGAGCGGCGGGGACGGAGGCGGGCGGCGAGCGCTCCCGCCGGGATCGGCCCCGCCATGGCGAAGGAGCGCGGCAAGAAGGCGCTGCTCGCGCTGCTCCAGAAGGAGGGCAACGAGGTGTGCGCCGACTGCGACGCCCCCGGTAAGGCGAAGCCCCCTCGTGGGGGGGGGG